ATTTAAATTAACTATAGACACTATAATTTATGTTATTCAACAAAATTTTAAATAATCATAATCATAACCATAACTTTAAATAAACTAGTAGTGTAACATTATGGGACTTGATTATGTTCACCAACACAATTGTTAACATCACTAATATTTCCCTTTTGTTTTATTAAATTATTTATATATCTATTCAATTAAAGTGATAAAGATGAAATTAAAAATAAGTGTCCTGTAAAAATAAACAAATTAATTAATTAATTAATTAAAATATTAATAACCTTAACCACTATACTGATGGCCATATGCGGTCTAGCATTATAGGTGTAATCTCAATTCTCAAATACCTGTTTGACTGTTTCTTAAAAATTCAAAAATATTCAAGGACAGGGGCACTATGTCCCTATCTCACATGTCTTTTAGTTTGTAATATCAACGTGTCTATTTCACCGTCTACTTCTCTCGGACTTTTTCCCCCATCAACTCTTCTATTCCTTTTTCTTTACTTGAGTTTTCCAATTCAAACAATTTTTTTTTTTTTTTTTTTTTTTTAAATTTCAACAAAAGTAATAGTTAAAAAATTAGTAAGTTAATTGTTAGTAATTGATTCTCAAACTGGATAAACATTCCATCCCCTCAAATGAGATGCGCAGCCATCAAGCCTATTTTTTTTTGAATTCACAACGATGGTGAAATTCAAAATTCCAACTACCTCACCTAAGCATTTAAAGTTTGAGGTTCAAACAATTTTGTGTTGTTTTGTCTTGTTTGATCTAGGAACTTCAGAGGCTAAAAAAACTTGAACAGCCTAATTGGCCAGAGCGTCTACTTTAGTAGAAATTTTTTTTTTAGGTATTATATAAAAAATTAATAAGTTTTTAAATTTTATTGAGTTATTAAGTTTTTTATATTTTGAAAAAAATTATTTTTAAAAAAAGTGAAAAAAGTTTACAGATTATAAATTGTATTAAGAAAAATAAAAGTTAGGGATATTATTTTATCTTTTTTATTATA